TAAAGGACGGAAAATCAAGCTGCACGTTGCGGCACAGTCGGCCCAAAGAGTCTTCCCCTGAGACAAGTCCGTTTGAGGAAGGTAGATAAGCAGATTGACTAAGTCAACTAGCGTTAGTTACGGGATTCGTAACCGGAGAGGAGATCATAATAAGACTAAACAGCACTCAAGAGTTGGGCAAAAAACGAAGCTATTCGCAATAGCAGGTCATCGCATGTTGCAGCTGTGTTGGACTGTATTCTTCTGCTTTGGATAACGATGCCAAGAATGGACAGCTCATGCACCCACCTGGAGGCTGGGGCGAATCCACCGAGTGACGATCTAGCCTGGAACGATTGCTTCCAGAGAGTCAAAGGTCAAATCAGAGTTTAGCGCTGGCCAAGATGGGGGACTCGCGGTCTATCGGAACGTTTGACTGCACCAGGAGACAAAGAAGCCTCCACAGGCGGTAAACAACCTCAGAAGCAGGACCCTTCAGAGTCTCGACTGGCTATGAAAGCTCCAAAACTTGCTGTGGCATCCCTGTTCGTCTCCTGTTTTTGTTGTTCTCATCCAAACAGGTTTCCCGGGTGTCATCCGATGGACGGCTGGCGACTAGACCCTCGTCTAGCCGTATGAAGACGTGGATACGTACCTAGCAAAAAAAAAATAGTGTGGGTCCAAGTGCAGCCCCCAATTGGGAAAGAAATGTTGTGGCTCAGTGGAAAGACCGATGACGTAAACTTGGATATTGTCGTACTTCGTACACATCCACAACCCGAGCAACAAGTCACCAACCACACACCCTTCCTTCATGACTAAAATTCTTGGCCACGTCAGGCTCGACCTAGACTTGCTGTGTTGTTCAACGCCTCAGCAAGCAAGTACGCAAGATGATGTCTCCCTTCCTATCTGTGGACTTTGTGTATTCTTACACTTGTTTGTGGCACCCACGTTGTTCTAAGGCGCCCAACTTCCAACTACCGCTCTCGCCCTCCCTCCCCCCGTAACCCATTCCATTCTAATCATGGCCTTGCCCCTAGTCCACTGTCCAGGCGAGTGACGCCGATGGGGCCGCCGGCCTTGTTCCTGTCCCTCGTCTCCATCACAGCATTCTTTCACGTACACTCAGGGTCCCCTCGGTTGCATCATTGCCGGCCCAGGGTCTTGGATGGCTGGTTCGATGTGATTCACTCATTGTTCCTTAGGCTACTTGCTCTCCCTCAATAAGACCTGGGCCCCTTTGCTACCTTTGAAGTCATTCGGTCTCGGGCCTTTTGATTCTGAACATCACGCTTCCAAGTGACAGGCAGTACCTACCCATAAGTCTCTCGCCAAATCTCAGGTTCGCGATTACGAAATCCGCCGTGTACCCAAACAATCTACATACAACCCCGTCTTCATCAAGCAAATTTTCATTTGTCCAACGCGAGCGAGATCAGCCATTGCCGACAACATGCATTTCACCGTGATAGTACCGTTGGTACTGTCCATCGTGGCATTCGTCCTCTCTTTCCTCGCCCTCTTCGCCGGGCACAAGGAGGGCTTCATGGAGGACTACGACGTCGTCCGCCTCAACACCTCGACCCTGGGCCACAACCTCATCCCCACTGCAACCTCCGAGGCCGATCCTGCCTCGACCACCGGCAGCTTGCTCGACAAGTTCATCGACGGCGTAGGCGACAAGGTGTCCGGCATCCTCAACGACATTGGCAACGATGTTGCTGACCGCCTCGCCGACGAGTTGGGAATCTCCGAGTGGTACTCTCTGCACCTGATGGATGTGTGCCACGGCCAATTCTCGCCCAATGTGACGGCGCCCAACGTCTGGCTGAACGTCACGAACTGCACCCAGCCGTCTCCTGGTCGTAAGTAAACCCCACTAGTACCTTAGTACCCTATCATTTCAACGTTGTACGCTAACATGGAAAACTAGCAAACGTTAATCTCACCAAGATGCTGGACCAAGAACTCGAAATTGGCCCTCTGAGCCTGAGCCTGTCCGACCTCAACTGGCCCGACACCATCGAGGACGCTATGGACAAGGTCAACAAGGCCCTCCTCGCCATTTTTGTCCTCTATGTCATGGGCATCGGCTTCTCGGGCCTCGCCATCCTCGGCTCGCTGGCCGCCTTCTTCCTCGGCTTCAAGAAGCGCATGACACTCACCAACTTTGCTTTCACCTTTTTGGCGGCTCTCGTGCTCTTCGCCGGCAGTCTCGTCACGACGATTGGCGCGAAAGAGGGCGCGAAGCAGATCACGGACATTGGCGAGGAAGTCGGCATCTCGGCCAAGGTGGGCCAGAAGTTTATGATCATCTCCTGGGTGGCTTTCGCCGTCATGTTTGCGGCGTCCGTTTACTGGGTCACGCAGTTCTGCGCCGAGAGGCGGTCGCGCAGAACGCCGCGCGATTATACCGAGAAGCGCCATAAGAAGGGCAGCTTCTAGAATCGAAGCATTCTCTCCGGTTTGACTCGTCAGAGTCGTCAAACCATGGGTGCGCCTTTCACTTCTCTCAGATTGAGAAACCTCAGTACGAAAGCGTTGCATTTGAAACGATACCTTTGCCGTGTTTGCCCCGATAGCTGGCATATCATGGCTATTCCCGACATCACGATCCTTTTTTTGCCTTGTTAGAGATACCATTGTTGCGATATATAAACCAAGAGTGCACTATTTCATAGCATTATCTCTAGAACCACATCAATAAAGATGTTTTCACTCAAAGTAAACCCAACAGCTACTGTGAAAACCCTTAGTCCATCATGGGTGAGACCGCAGTTATGACTGTAATTTCCTCTGAGTAAATAGATATGATTCGTTTCCAGCTTCATAAAAACGAGCGAAGATACAGGACTACTCAACTTTACTCACAGCCTCCAACATCCGATTCTGCCTTCGGAGGAGACCCACGCCCGGCTCCGGCGTCACGCACCCCGGAATGTGGGGTACGTCATTCCTCCCCAAACAGGCAACAACCACCATGTCTCGACCTTGGCCAAATGAACCCAACCTGGACCGTACCGTACCTTACCCTCTAGGCGCTCTACACTTCGACTACACCTCACCTCAAGGACACTCCAACTCTCACGCTTCACCGCCCGTTGCACCGTTGCTTCAAACTCCTTGCGGCTGGTGACTTTCATAATCTCCCTGCCCACTCCTTTTAGACCTCCAAGCCCGGTGCGCCCGTCGCCCCCCTCCTCCCTCTGTCAGTAGAAACTTGGTCTCAAGATGCCTTCCCTCCCGTTCTCGGACCGTATCTCCTCCGCGGCGAACATGCAAGGCCGCAACGACAATGGTGAAGAGGAATCACTCCTCGGACGGGGCCAGCAAAAGGTACGGCGGTTTTGGGATGGCTTCATCGACTTTGCTCTGCAGGGCAACATTCTCGAGATTGCCTTTGGTTTGATGTAAGCGTCCTTCCCCTATTCACTATACATAACACGCATACCAAACGCGAGCATGAAGAGACGAACAAAGGGCTGTACGCTCTCATATCGACAACGCGCTTTTGCAGCAATGTTATCTCGACATTATAGCCCTGCTCGATGTTTGAATTTTGAGGGGTTCTACTCTACTGACACCGTTTGACAGCATCGCGGCCGCCTTCACGACCCTCGTCAACAACTTTGTGCAGAACATCATCATGCCACCCATCTCCGTCATCTTCCCACTCAACCGCAACATGGAAGAAAAGTTCGCCGTCTTGAAGGGCGGCCCGAACTACACCCACGATAACAAATACACGACCCTCGAGCGCGCCAAGGACGATGGTGCCGTCGTCTTAGCTTACGGGTGAGTTTAATATTTCACGCACCTTGTTTCTACTTGACCATCACCATGTAAAGACCCCATCTGGTATCGGATTCGGTCCTTGTTTGGAAACGTTCATTTTCGTGACTTCAAGGGGCAAACACATCCAATGACACTTCGCTCGACACGTCTCTAACGAAACAATCACCAGCTCGTTCCTCAACCAACTCGTCTCCTTCCTCTGCGTCGGCATCTCGCTCTACGGACTGGCCCACGTCTTTCAGTTCTTCTCCCGCGAGCCGATTATTAAGCATACTGTTAAGTGCAAGTACTGCCGCAAGCGGATCAGCAATAAGGTGCGTTCAGTTAGGCCCTGCCACTAAGCTCTCAGATCAGAGTAGAACCCCGTTGAAGCTGACCTAATTTCTTGAGCGAAGGCGCAACGTTGCGTCAACTGCACTAGCTGGCAGGACGGGCGTGAGGATAGGGCTCAGCGGTAGTGGGTTTCTTCTCTTGTTCTTCCCGTGTTGGTGGAATCGGTGCGAGCACGATTCATTTTTGTTTTATGCATTGTCAGGGGTGGGTTTACGGGGCAGCATCATGAAGTCGGGTGTCGACACGGGTGTCGGATGTCCATGAGCATTGTTTCAGCATAGCAGGGTCGGGGTTGAGAAGCATCTGGTGTCGTTTCGTGTCGGAGTCGTGGTTCATTATAATAATTCAGAGCATCGTCATTTGACTCAGGTCCACGTGGTCTTGAATGTAATGACCCAATCCTATTATACCATACATCGCATCCGCGTTGATCTTGCGGTTAGCGATCCTAGATGTGTTGGCTTTTTCGCCTGTTATCATGCTCGCTGTTCTAAAACTCACCATTACTCCTCGGAAAAAGACTTTCTACCATCTTAACCCCCTGGCACACTGCTCCTCTATACACCAGGCATCGTCTCCTCAGGCGTACCCCCATTGCGTCTAAAATACTCCTTTTGCGCGCGCGGCGACATGACATAGCGCCAATACCCCACCGCCACAAGACCTATGAAGAGTATGACGCCCACGCAAGAAAACGCGATAGTGCTCTTTGTTTCGACGTTCATGATTTGCTCTGAGTTCTAGGAAGGGTGGGGGGGAGAAGAAGTCTGGGGCGAGAAGATGAATGCTCCCTTGTCTTACAAGGTAGGGGCTGGTTATCTGCGAGTAAGTGAGACTGGGAGGGCGGATAGTTTGTTGAGGAAGAGGAGTAGTGTCTATGGACACTGGGGGAGTTAAGAAATGCTTGAGCTGGAGTTGGGGGAAATAAATCGTATCTGTGTTTAGATTTGTATCTATTTAATTTATCGCTTCTCATACAGAATGACTTGTGGCGATTCATTGCTCGTCTGTATGAAAGCCGACGTACTCGTTCCAACAAACAATGCTTTGGTTGTTTTCAGCAAGACAACCCACAAAAAATAACCGTCTTTGACTCACACCAAGTCAATGAAGTGCAGGGGAATACCGCCGCAGCAGCCAACAAAAGGTAATCATGGAAGATGAATGAGAGACAAGCATGGCAACACAGTCGGAGCAGTCGTTATGCGTCAAGATAGTCGCGAATCATTCGCGAGGTCGCCTATGACTGTTTCCCGAAATACACCGCTCATCGATGCCTCCCTCAATTGAAACGACATCTTCAATGATCTAGCTCTGCCACCAACATACTTAAAACATCATGAACCCAGCCGCAGCGACAGCGCCGACGAGCATACCATCCCGGCCGACTCGGGGTGCAGCGGCGTTGGGCGTGGACGTCGAGGCGGCCTGCGCAGTCGTCGCCGTTGCAGCAGCGGAGCCGGACCCAGATTCGGATCTGGACCCGCTCTGCGCCGATGCCGTGGACGCTGCGGTGGAGGTCACCGTGGAGGTTGCCGTGGCTGTTGCAGCCGCAGTCGTAGTGGCGCCGGCCTGAGCTTGCTGCAACTTCTCGAGGCCCGCGGTAACGGTGAGGGGAACATAAAGGCTTGTGCCCAGAGGCGACACACTTGTATCGGTCTGCGTGACGGTGCTTCCACTCTTTGTGACGACCGCGTGGTAGTACAAGACACCGTCTGAGACGGTACCAATGTATTCGGTTGATCTGTGTAGAAAAGTTTCAGCAACCATGGTCAAAAAGATTACCCCGCTGGTGTTGGCTGCGCGTGGTAGAGAGACGATGAGCAAGTATGCGTGAGATGTCTTACACTTTGCTGGCAGTACGTTCAATGTGAAGCTCCACGGTCGACGGCCCTCCGATGAGGGTCATGGCAAGGCCGGAGGGGTCATCGCGACATTGGTAATTCGTGCTGTCCGTTTGGCAGCTCACAACGTACGTCGTCGCGGTAGGATTAGCGTCCTTGATGGACGCGTCGTAGGGGTTGTCACCGAAATAGGGGTTCAGGACGCTAATCACGGACGTGGTCTGCGCAGTGGCGGTGCCTAAGATGGCGAGCAAGATCGTCGTGTAGTGCTTCATCTTGAGATCAGTATGCGACAAGACGGGCAAAAATTGATGCTTTCGTGAGTATCGCGGCGAGACAATGTTTTTCTTGGCTGGCCTTCATGGTCAATTTCCCGGCAGAGCTGTGCCGTAGGCTTACAGGAGGAACTGGGCCCGGGAGTCCATGGCCATTTCTGGTCAAGCGCTCGTGTCATTGTGTGTTGGTAGCAAGAAAAAAAGGAAGAAACCAAAGTCTCAACTCCCAACTCGTCAGTCCAAGCTGTCGTTGGCAAGCAATATTCCGATTGGATCCCGCATGGACAACGTTGGCCGTTATCTTGATGAAGAAAATCAAAGTTTTGCATGGAGTTGGTGCCAAAACGGGTTTCTTGCAAATAACGGTGGCTCACTGGCTCACAAAGAGTAGTTTTACAACCAGTGTCGTTTTCTGACGCATTGGGTCGTGACATCTACCTATACTCATCTTCAATCATCTCGCAATGGTTCGTGCAGCTTACGACCTGGCAACAAGTCATTCCGTGCACAGCTGCCTCTAGCATCGCATAGAGATACTCGTTCCGGTGGCAAAGTGCAGCATGTAATCTGCATCGAACAAGACACCATGCTGCCAGCTGATGTGTAGATTAGTTCGAGCTGAGTTTATTTCAACGTTGTTCGGTCTGCGACCTCGCGGGCTGCGGGCATGCCGATCCTTGAAGCCTCGCTGGTTTTGCTATGCTGATTTTTCAGTAGAGGAACGTACACTTGACTCAATTTCCCGAGTTCTTATGTAAGGTGGCAGCAGTCACATTTGCCCAGTCAATGGGTCGACAAGCAGGTGTTTGGCAACACAGAGAGTCGTCCTGGCACTGTGCCCCATCATGAGTGATACACTCCGGACGACAGGCCAGGGCGAAGACCAAAGGATTTGTTGCCTCAAGGTACAGTGGGCTAGCAATTGAAGCGTAGTTGCTTCTTGTGTGTTGGCTTCCCCCTTGGATAAGCAGCCAGCCTTTGACGGGAGCAAGCCCAGATTCGCCGAGCCGTTGCGGTGAGGTTGCCAGGACGCTTCGGTTGCATGATGCTCCGGGCGGAAGCAGTACGGATCGGACGAAATATCAACATCGAAACTCCTTGCTGGTAGAGCTCGGCGTAATCGATGGGATGAAAGACGGGACGACATCGTTGGGATGGTCGCTCATTACAATCCTGTGGCTGGTGCACAGATACCCGCAGATCGAGACTGGGTTCCGCAGTGCGATTTTAACCGTCAACATTGAGATGGCGACGAAGCCGTGGTACCGGCGGGAGCCGAGATAATCGTCTGTCGCGCGTGGGCAGAAAGCAGTTGCATCTGCAGCGGTGGATAGTGACCAGATCTTCGGTCCTGCCTAACACGGATGAGGGAGTTGCAGCGAGCGGAAAGAGGGCCCCGAGGAGGGCAGTCGGAGCCTATCAAACGGCAAATCGAGGCGGAATCGGCTCCCACTTAGACTTCCACTCGGGGTCCAGGTATCTAGTGTTCCACGTTGACGAGAGCATGGTCAGATCTGAGATTGAAAGGTGTCGGAGACTGCAAGATGGATTCGACGAAGGGAGTCATAAAGGTACACCATGTTACATGTTTCTGGACAATGGAGGGGTGTCGAGAAGACGTTCCGTTCAAACGGGTTGGGCTGAGGATCAGCTTCAAAGCTGCTAGACCCAGGAACCGTCGGCTGGAGGGGAGTTGAGGTTTCTGGAGAGGGATTTTCTGGCCAGGCCGGGTTGTGGGTATGAAATCCCGAAGTGATGCCCAGTATTAACGACGGGATGGGAAGGTGGTGGTGTTTTGGGAGAGATTTCCTCACGGGATACAAGTTACCTAAGCCTCCTCAGGAAAGGCAAGAGAGACTTGCGAATTGCGACTTCCCAAGTAGCGCAGCGGAGCGGGGACGAACGGGCATGACGGGGGGCGCGCCGTACGGGGGCAGCCAACCCCTGCCAGTTCCTGCCTAGCTGGCAACGTCCGGCCAGTCAGATGATGCCGTGACAGGAGGACCTTCTCCAGTCCGGACGCCCGTGCCCACCCAGCTCTTATTATTTTTTCGAAATTCGCGTTCTTGGCATTTCTTGGCTTTCTTCCCTTCCATCCTCTCATCGTTTGCCGTTTGTTTCCCTCGCCCAGTTGCCAATGTCCACCACTGTTACCGTATCCATTGGACGACCCAGCACTGGATAACCATCGGTCCTCGGCCATCAGGCGAACCGCGGTGGATGCTACAGTGGCACACACGCACTGCAGATACCTACCGTCTCCCAACCATCTCACGCATACCTAGCTGTGTTATGCTATACTACCCCCAAGATGGAGGTGCTCAGCTCGCATTACACCCACTGGCTGCAATGCAGCAGACCTGCTGGGTGACCCTTTTGGAAGGCCGTTGAAGTTTCAACCTGCAGAGAACGCCGTTGTTGCGAGGAAGCAAATACCTACCTTACAATGAGGTAGGTATGCCGAGACAAGGGCACGCCACGTTCGTCTCCCGTGGACCTTTGACCCTCTCACACACTCTCGCCGAGTCTCCAAAGGGCGCTGTACCATCTTGTCCAAAAGTCTTGGCTTTCGTCCCATTGTACCAAAAGAATGCCAATCGCTCACCTACTCTCCCGCCCAGCCTTGGCCGGCAAGGACGGCGCATTGGCAAAAGCTGCAAAGTCCTCAATCTCTCCCCGACACGTCTCTCTGCTCACCTGAAAGTTGAGCCGCTCCTCTTTGGTCGCAATACTGCTGTCACGACAGTAAATCTCCCTCACCGGAGACCCCTCCTCATTCTCTCGGCTCCGTTTCCAGCTTGCTCTTTTAAGGAAACAGACCCCTCCGATCCAGAGGCAACCTTTCCCTGCTCGCTCACAGCTTCCGTCCGGCTTTACTGTATTCGTTTGCTATCGCTGCACCCGCGAAACACCCGCTACGACCGTCCCATGCTCTAACCAGGGTCACTTACCACCACCGCACACGTCAAACCCACTTTCTGCCCCAGAGAACGGCCAACGGTCTTTCTTCCGACCCTTCGTCAACTTGGACCGAGAAATCAACGGCGTGTTACCGAATCCCTCTCTGGCTCCCAAGCTTCAACACCCGTCCCGTCAGCCTGGTCCGCTGCATTGCATGACCTCACCTTGCCCGTATCGGTAGCTGTACGACCCATGAACAGCCTGCGGTGGCTAGCTCGTTGACGTCAAGCACTGCTGCATCTTTCGACCGGCCCGAGATTCGACCAATCCAAATTCCACGTCTTCACGATGAGATGCTCACAGCCTTTCGCCGCTCTGCTGTCACTGTGTTTCCTTTCCTCGAATGCCGTCTTCGCCGATGATACCACCACTGTTCCGATCTACCTGCCGCACTATGATGCGAATAGCTGGTCGCAGCTGCGGGGGAGTGTAGTTTCAAGTGTACGACGCTTCCAAAGCTGCTCGGGCTCCCTTTCGACTGCCATTGCTGTAATCTAACAATTGCGCCATTGTAGAATGCCAAAGAAACGACGTATACCATCTTTTGCCCGCCACAGACATCACCTAATTGCGACCTCGCCATCGAGTTTCCCTTCGTCTTCTCCGAGGGCGAGAGTACGCTTCAGTTTCACGGCACCAAAACATCAACTCTGTAGGTTCTCGGCTCCCGGCAACATGTATTTCGCTTGGGAAGGAGTGGGACGGCTAATCACGACGTGGCGGAACAGTATCGCCGATCTGGGCTGCACATTAAGCGGAACGACAGCTGCGACATGTTCAGGATACTCGAGTCTGAAAAGCGGATACATTAACGGCAAATTGACGGGACCGACCGAAGTATCGTGGACGTCGACCATGACCGGCTCTGAGGTGGAATGGGGTATTTTGACCATGGCTGAGGAGCCCGCGGCTACAGCAACTCCAGCGACGACCACGACCGCCGACGACTCGAACTTTGACGACTTCTTGTACACGGACAGCCTGTCTCCTTCATTACCTGCCGAAACTAACCCGAGCGCCGCTCCTCGTCTTGGCCGCGGCTGGGCTCTCGTCGCATCATTATGCAGCATGGCAGTTATTGCATTGGTGGTATAACCGGCGACGTTTCTACACGCCCACAAGCTACAGAGCCGGGGCATACTATACCCACCAGAGCAATCACGAATGATCTGCTACCCGAAATCCGAAAGAAAACGAAATAGACAGCGGCATTATCATCATGGAAAGGAAGCATACGAAACAGACCAAAACTAGGAACCTGGATCTTGGGACAACGATTTGAAGAGGGTAATGCAATCTTGGAGCTTTGCCCTCATGCCAGCGTAAAGGGAGGGGACGAGAGGGAACGAGGAGAGAATCGTTGGCGAGCCCGTTGTCCTTTTTTTTTTTTTTTTTTTTTTTTTTGCCCACAGAGCTTTGTCATTTCTCGCAATGCGCTCCCTTTTGGAGTTATACCCCGTATCGGCGTTGTATTGTTTACAGTCAAGGGCTCAACGGCAAATATAAACATGGACAAGAGAGGAGGGGACGACTCCTAATCCTATGATTCTCTGTGCAAACAATTTCATCGAATGTTCGTATCGTTTATCCACCGAGAGAGAACATATCCATCAAAGCAACTTGTTACGCATGTCATCATTTTAGAACGGACGGATACTGCGACCAGTCACAGGGCAGACGGAACATTCGTCAAATTGGTCCGCAGTCCTGCGTTACGCTCCACACATTACGGTATCCGCGTGGAACGCAAAGATTTGTTCCGCTCGCCCCTTAGACGACCATCGATTCTTCACAGAGCAGGAGGATGACCGGTATAACGTGATGGATTTGAATTCATGAACAGTAGAAACTGTCAGGGGTGTGTATGTTTTCACATGTTGAGCAAATGGATACCTTTTGCCAAACGCCGGTTACGCCTTTTCCCGCCCCCCGGATTCTATTCTACACAAGAAGGAAATGCCAAAACAGCAACACGGCGCTCAAAGCGCCTGTGTATGTACATTTCAAAAAGATGTTTCCTGCGCCACTTTGGTTCGGGACGGTGGCGGGAGGCGGTTCAGTCGTCGAGTTACTCGTCGAGTTGGTGATTGAGTTTGTGAGGCTGGCGCGGTGCCTGTCAGCGGTCGGTTTTCCCCGTTTATTGTTGACCGGACGCAGGACGCAGAAGGACGCAGAAAGGGACTTCGACCGAGGTTGCCCGCACAAAGAAAACCTACTGGCTAACGACAAGCCCCTGGATGATTTCGAGCGCGCTCATGGTCTGCCCGAGACCGTAGCTGCCGTCGTCGCCGTCGACGTACCACTTTTGCCCGCACGTCACGTTGCCCGCCGAGGCCTCGCACACTTTGGCCGCCGCGAGCGCGCTCGGGATCAGGATCTCTTTTACCTCGGGCAGAAGCGCCGGCATGACGACGGCGGACTGCCACAGGAAGCGCGAGAGGTAGCCCTTGAACGTCTTCATGTCGGTGTTGCACGTGCCGACCGTCTCGCACGCGGGCTCGTACATGATGTTTGTGCTGTTTTCGGCGAGCGAGAAGAAGCTCTTGCGGGCGGTGGCGAGCATCTTTGTCGCGCGGTCCGCCCAGAGGACATCGCCTGTGTGGTTTGCCATGACGGCCGCGCCGTAGAGGTAGATGCCCGTGGAGTAGGTAAACGAGAGATAGTTTGTCTTTGTGCAGTTGTCGCGCGAGTCGGCGCCGTCGTAGACTTTGAGGTCCGCGTCGAGGAAGCCCACGGCGGCGGACCAGTCCCACACGTACGAGGCCCAGTCGGCGTAGCGTGAGTCGTTTGTCGCGGCGGCGAGGCGCGCGCCGAGCTGGAAGAAGCCGCCGTTGCTGACGCTGTTTTTGTAGTTGAGACCGTTGGGGTTGGACTCGTAGATTTGCCAGAGGAGCCCACCGCCGCAGTGCGTCATGTTCCAGCGGCCCGCGAGGGAGTTGAAGATGTTGCGCCCCATTTGGAGCCATTCGGGCGCCCCCGTCGAGGCGTCTGGTTCGGGAAAGTTGCGTTCGGCGGCGGACATGACTGCGAAGCCCCAGAAGCCGAGGTCGTCGTTTCCTTCTTCGAGTTCGTGCTCGGGCGGCATGAAGTCGTAGTTGGGTCCCGTGTTGACTTTTGCGGTGAGGGCTTGGGTTAGGACTGCGTTGTAGGTTGCGTCGCCTGTGTAGTGGAAGTAGTCCATCATTATGCCCCAGAGGGCGCCGGCTTGCCACCAGTAGTATGGTTCTGGGAGGTCGCCGACCATCTGTGGATGTGGTGGTGTTCTTGTCAGTTTTGTTTGATCCTGACGTTTGGAATATCCCCCCCCCCCTTTTGTGTGAAGACCTGGAGTGTGTCCACCCGTTCTAGAGATCGGAGCTGTCATACCTTGGGATCACTGGAGACGTTTCCGTTGTAGTAAGACATGGCGCCGAAAGCCAGGCTGCCGGCGATGGCCTTGACGGAGTCTTTGGGCTCTGTTAGCAAAAACCTTGGGCCCGTATGCTGGGAAGAACTCTAGACACCAACCTGCGTTATTTACATCGAGCGTCTTGGGCGATGTGAAGGCGGAAACCGCCGTGACGGCCACGGAGGCGATGAGGGCGGGCTTGACGAGGACCATGGTGACGTCTACAGACTTTGCGCGGGTTGGAATGTCACCGTTCTGATGGAAATGATGTTTCCGAAGAGACCGGCTAGTTAATCCGCTGCCTTTCGCAAAGAAATGTTTCGATTATACAGACACGGGGGATACTGCGTCAAAGAAGGACGTAGGGTGAGAGAGAGGAACAGTAACCCAAAAGGAACGACTCTTTGGTGAAGATGGCGAGAGAAACAAGCAGCGGCGAAACAGTTCACGAGAAACGAGAGAAGATTGAGAAGCGAGAGTGACTGCACATTGCGTAGGTAACGTAACAAACTGGAAGGAAAAGTATCCGATCTACATACAGCGCAACCGAGGCGTTCCTAATCCTATTAATGAGCACGAATAAGAGCAACGTCGCAACCAGGGGCGGTGGGGGGGGTTTGTTCAGGTCCCGGCGCGCGGTTCGTGAGGTGGCACTAAGGGCATTGAGGGGTGAAGTTCAAGGAACAGACGGCGGCTCCGGCGAATGGGAGCTCTCGATGGACTTCTGGTTCGACTCAGCCCACCTTCGTCCCATGTTCATTTCTCTTTTAGACTTCTTGACAGCTGCTCGAAAGAATCTCGCTGTTTTTCTTTTGGTTCAGGCAAGGCAGGGCGCGCAAGGGGAACGACGACAAAAAGTCTCCTTGTCCACATAAATCCCGCCGGTCTCCCCCTGGGGCGGTTATGAACTTATGTGTGGACAGGGGGGGCTTTGACTGGATAAATCCCCATGTTTTGAGAAGCGCGGCCGGCCTTTAGTCAGGCACACGCAACCGCAGACTTGCAGATACACGCAATGTTGTCACTGGGCTGAAGAGCTGAGTCTTGGTTGGTTGGTGGTTTGGCTGGTCAAAAAGGGAAGTTCCAACGGGACCAGAGCCGCCGAAAAGGGGGGAGAGAGGGTAAGGAGGGGGATGCGGGAGAGCGGGGTGTGGGCGGTTGGTGTGGTTCTCAATGCAAGCTTACAATGAACAAACTTGCATGAAGAAAAGGGTCATTTCGAATTGTGATTGACAGGCAGCGTTGTACCGGGACAATCCATGGCAGATCAAAAGAGGAGAGAAGACCTCTTGGGGGTCTTGCTGTTCAGTGTTTTGTTCAACAGGTTCAGACGTGTCCCAAGGCCAGCAATAACCAGGCAAAGGATGTCGGCGATTGGGTCAATGATTGGGCGCTTGTTTGGAGGATGGGAGTCAACCCATGGGCGGGATGATCTACTTGAGAGCCGCTAGCTCGGATTACCGTTACCTCCAGCTCGACACATGAAACAGCGACGGCACCCAATTTTAGCCTTTGCCTAATTGAGGAAGGCGGGGAGGCCATCGGCATTTGTGAGATCCAGTCTGACCAGATGATTGAAGGAACGGCGGGTTTTACACTGAATGGTGGCGCCGTGCCGATTGCCGGGTCTCACCAGCAACGTGGAAAGAGTGACGGATTGGTTCTCGAGGGCGTTTCGCTGACTGGTCATTTCTCAAATCGAGCTGGTCGATTAAGCGCGAGCTTCGAGGTAAAAAGACTTGAAGCGAAGGCCTGATTTGAGCAGCAGCAAAGGAAAGTTATTCAGGGTTCTGATCAGCGTCAAGATGTCCAAGATCGGTTGGCCACCGTGACGTATTTCACCTAGGTAGCTTCTTCATGCAGTCTATATCTATGATAGAACATAATTGATAACTTGAAGATTGCGGTGAATTGTGTTGTCTGTCGTGGCGTTTCAAATATCACGTGACTGGGATGAGTGGGGCGGATGCTTGAAGCCATCACGACCATCTTGCTGGCTTGCTGTGTTGGGTGGAATGTGAACGCTGTACACCATAATGAAGAATTATGATATGGAGAGACAGATATGATTCGTCTGTACTTCGTAGGCTTTTCACGACGAGAAGTGTATTTTTCAGACCGAAAAAGGAAAGAAAAAAGCAAATGGGCCGGTGGAGGTTCGAAGGCCGGCGTCCTGAAATAATCCGGAGCATCACGGACTAAGTCGGCACGTCGCGAACTTCTCCCCTCGACTACCAAGCTAAATGGCCCATTTGTTGGAGGACGAACACAAACCATTGCCTATATTTCCCTTCGGCCTGTCGCCTGAGGTTGTAGATTGACACTCCTCACACGCGTGCAAAGTGCTATGTGCCGGGCTCACGGCCACCAAGTTTTCTGCTTCCTGAATATGCTTTTTTTTTTCTTTTTGCAAGCCTTCATGCAAAATAACGGTCACACCATGGGATCTGCTCTCGTATGGTACAGGGTTGATAGAAGTAAAGACTCCTCCTACCCCAATGTGCACTCAGCCAGGCTTGATTCACTCATTTAACATTTCTTACACGCACACACACGGAGTCTCAGCTAGAGATAAGTCAGCTGTTAGGGACACTAATTTGCCCTGCATACTGACTCTGTCGAACCTGTTGCCAAATTCATCTTCAATAAGTTTATGACGGGTTACTTGGGGTCCGCTGCCTGTGGCTGGGAATATATACGTCCGAATAGTATCAACGCTTATCTCTGTTACCAATGATACGAAGCAAACCATTCGGAGTGCAGTCACTTTTAACCTGAACTTGAGAAAACCTGCGCAGTCAGGGGTACCGATCCAGTAGATGGTGATTCCCTCCTACATGGATCTCAAAGTGACTCACTCCGGTCTCTATAGGCGACCCATCGCTCGTTCAGGTCAGCTGATAACATAGCTAATCATTATCAAAACAGCCATCTTCAACTGAAAAGTAACCTACCCACGCCCGCCTACTGATCTCCAACTAATACCCAACCCACACCTCAACACCACCATGTCCCCAAACCCCCAACCTATAATCCACATCAACGGCTACCCCGGCACCGGCAAACTCACAATCGCCCGCGCCCTAGAACAAAAACTCGCGCCAGGGGCTCGCCTCATACACAACCACCCTTTAATCAACCCAGCCGACGCCGTCCTACATCGTATCGGGCCAGGCTACCAAGACCTCCGCAAAGCCATATGCGGCACCGTCTTCGCCGCCCTGGCAGAGTATCCGTTGACGCGCGATTCGGCCTACATCTTGACCGAGTTCCACTCGAGCGACGCCGTGGGGTCCGCGACGTGTGCCGAGTACCTCGAGGCGGCGGTGCGCGCGTGGTTGTGTGCTTGTTTCGGTTGTGCTGGCGTGTGATGAGGGTGTCAACTTGGAGAGGTTGGCGAGTGCTGAGAGGAAGGCGCATTGCAAGATTGTTGATGTCGTTTCGGGCGGGGAGTACGATTCATCGATTTGAGGCGGGTGATTCGATTGTTGTTTTGGATGTTGATGTCTCGAGGAAGACGCCGGAAGAAGCAGCCGAGGAAATTCTTGATCATGTCCTACGTACGCAGAAACAGGCATCGACACATGATGTCGAGTCTTGAAGTATTCAAAATAGAACGGTTCACTTGGTTTGAAGCATAAGTATCTTATAATTTCCCACTGTCCTTTTTCCCGATCGAAAACAATCAATGAGCGCTCCCTTTTTCTTTTTGGCCGTCTTCTATCATCTATCAATCCTCGTTATGAACCGTTCCATCTATGCAACCACCCCATTCGCCGCAGCCTCCTTCTTCTCCTCATCCGGCTGCCGCCCAGCACCACGAACCTCGGCCAGAACCTTGGCAATAGAAGCAAGGAACCTCGTGACCTCGTCCTCGGTACCGATCGTGATCCGCAAACAGCCCAGGCAGCCGTGCTCCTTACCGCGGAACCGCACCACGACGCCCTTATTCTCCGCAAGACGCTCATACACAGCCAGCGCCGTGACGTTGTCCGGCTGCCCCGCAGCATCCAACATCTCGTACAGCAAAAAGTTACTCTCCGTGCCGCCGCGCAACCTGCCGACACCAGGAACCCGGGGGAGCTCAGCGATGATGCGGTCCCGCTGCGTCAGGATCTTGGCGCGGTTCTCCCGCATCACGGCCAGGCCCTTCTCGGAGACGGCGTACTGCGCGAGCGCGCTGGTCGGCGTGGAGATGTTGTACGGCGCCTTCATGGCATTCAGGAGGCGCGCGACAGGAGGGGCCGCAAAGGCGGCGCCGAGGCGGATGCCCGCCATACCGAACGCCTTGGAGAGGGTCTGCATCACGACGAGGTTGGGCCACTCGAGCACCCACTCGGCCATGGAGCTCCCCTCGGGCGCGAAGTCGATGTAGGCCTCGTCGAGGACGACGATGCCGTTCCACGTCGGGTGCTCCAGCACACGCTGGACGTCTTCCTTGGCTAAGACGGAGCCGGTTGGGTTCCCGGGGGTGCAGAGGTACACGAGCTTGATGTTGTTGTCCGGCTCGCTCAGCGCGGCCAGGATGCCGTCCGTGTCCATGCCGAATTCGGGGGCGGCTTTGAGGGGTACCTTTGTGATGCCCACGTCGTTGATTTGCGCCGAGACGGAGTACATGCCGTAGGTGGGCGGGCAGGTCAGGATGCGGTCTTTGCCCGGGGCGCAGAAGCAGCGGAGGAGGGCGTCGATGGCCTCGTCGCTGCCGACGCCGACGAAGAGGTTCGAGGGCGTGAGGTCCTGGTTCGTGTGGGTGTGGGTGTTGCGGAGGCGGCAGAGGAGCTGCTTGAGTTCCGGCTGGTGAGGGTCCGGGTAGCGGTTCAGACCCTGGAAATCGATGCCTAGATTGCCGGCCTCGAAGTCGGGCTGCAGAGAAGGCCCGTAGGCGTTTTCGTTTGCGTCGAGGAGGACGTTTGTGCCGTCATCTTTGTAGTCGCTGCAGACTTGTGTTAGAGATGGCGGTTGCTGAGGCGACTTTGCGAGTGAGCTTTTGATGAGTGAGAACTTACTCTCTTGCGCAGCGATAGGGCTCGAGGGCCAGGATATTCGGGCGCGCACACGTTTCAAGGTTAAAGGATGACATTTTGGCGTGGATGTCTGGAGAATGTGTTCTGTTGTGAGGACAGTGAAGCAGACTGAATCCTTATATCGCCAATCTCTCTCACTCGTACAATCGTCGACGTCGATTTGAGTCAACCCTCGGCCACTGTAAACTGGATCCCGATAGCTGGGCCCGCCGACCCCGGAGCCATACGTCGGCACCTGCCCGGACCTAAGCGGGTCATGGAAGATGGCAATTGGCCAATGGAGATTCGATATACTGCCTCTGTCATTCATCCGAAAAAATTGATCTGTGAGATACTCACAGGGCAAAGTGCAGATTAGGTCAGACTTTGTGTAACAAGGCTGTGAAGATATCGAACTTGGCCTGTTCAAATTTCGGCTCCAAACTGGCACTCCGAAGCCGTTGTCGAACTCGGTTTCGGCTCAATTCCAACCTGGCACGCGTAGACAAAATAAAGGCCGAAGTGATGAAGCCCACCGATGATTTCAAGGCGAAAGTCAATATTCGCTGACGACCATTAAGTGAGTACTGATTCGTCATACTTATGAAAATGGGGTTCCCACAGAGCCGCAATATCGGATATAAGTGAACTGCATATAAAATAAGCACTTATATTCCATTTCTCACATGAATGTGCAGCTGGAAGAAAATGTATTGCATTTTACTTGCATGCTCCCGGGCTATAGAGAAGCTTATTCCGATTCCCAAGTCAGCTTCAGCCTCGTCTTTAACGGATAACCACCCAGCATCTTCACTATACTTATTCAGCTATACAGCTGAATTCCAATAACTCGATAATTCGCCTTTTGGGGCTCAAGATCACTAGATGAGCATGTATCAAGATCTTATTGCTCGCCAACCCGGACTTACGCCCCGCTCCTGGCCCGGGGTCGCGGATCAACTGGCATCGCCTGCATTCAGGCTGAATATGAATGAGCACGCCAACGTCACGGTTTGGTCCAACTTCAAGCCAGGTTTTCTGGAATTTCGGCAATGTCGGATATCAGTAGGTAGTAGGTCAACAGGAACCCCGCACAACCTAGATTCCTAGTATGCAGGACGAATAAATCAACGACTCCACGCCACAACCCCCGAGGACTAAACGTCTTTTCAACGACGTGCTTCACCTGCCGGCCGTAGCTCTCGCGCCGGCAGCTCAACATGGCCAAGCTAGTGCTGGACCGATGTGACGGCTATGGAGTTCAATGAGGCCTTCCCCAACTTACCCCTCATCCATGATCGTGAAGCGGCACCCCCCCCGGTCAACGATCTGGGGAAATTGCAGATATTTGGTCTTTTTCTTCTACCGAACTCCGCATTACACGGGTTCGTCACCGCTCTCCCGCCCTGTATGTGGGAGATGGGGGAAGCTCCTGGTATCTACGATCCGGCCCATTTCATAGGCGGCCATTCTTCGTCCGTCTCTGCATCGGTCGAGCTTCCCCCGCCCCTCCCGATTCTAGTGTCCCGGGTGAAAGGACCTACGGCCCATCATGACGCAAGGATACGAAGCTATGGGGCAGAGCTATATGACCATCGGTCCCCAGATAATGAACCTGTCTAGTGGTGATCGTTCGTCCTGGTTTCCGCTGCACACTGGCGTTTCCAAAGTGTTTATCCAGCTGAGCGTTTTCGTCCTTCGAGTCTCTTACCGCCGCAATGCTCCCCCTCCTCGTCGCAGCCCTGGCCTCGGTGGCCACAGCCTCCCAATGCGGCCTCAAAAAGTTTGAGAATCTGGTGGCTTTCGGCGACAGTTACACCGACGAAGGCCGACTCTCGTATTTCATCAACAACAACGGCACCGCCCCTCCAGCTGGCACTCTGCTGCCGCCAAGCAACTCGACCGCGAGCGGCGGCTACGCCTGGGGCCGGATCGCCGCCAACTCGACGGGAGCAAACTACTATGGCTACGCCGTCAGCGGGGCCACCTGCTCCAACAAGATCATATCGCGCGACTTTGCCGCCATCAAGCAGCCGTTCCCCTCCGTGCTCGACTACGAGATCCCGGCGTACAAGGCCGACACGGCCTTCGAGACGCTCTACCCGAACCGAATGGCGGACAACACGGTCTACGCGCTCTGGATCGGCACAAACGATCTTGGCTACGGCGCGTTCCTCACCGACACCAACGCCGCGGGCACGACCATCTCCAGCTACGTGGACTGCATCTGGGAGGTTTTCGACAACATCTACGAGACGGGCGGGCGCCACTTTGTCCTCTTGAACATCGCGCCGCTAGAGGAGTCACCGCTGTACGCCGCGACGGGGCCGGGGAAGAGCGGCTTCGGGGACAGTCAGTTCTGGACCAACAAGACGGCGTACAACACGACGGAGACGCAGTTCAAGATGCTCGAGTACAGCACGAGCGTCAACACCATGTTTGATTATGGCGCGGCGTTCCAACTGCTCGTCAAGAAGCGCTGGCCCGGGGCGAGCTTTTCAATCTTTGATGTTCACTCTCTGCTGCGGGACGTTCATGATGACCCGTCGACTTACCTGTCGTCACCTGCGAACGTGACGGCGCCGTACCGGACATGCGATGCGGTGACGAGGGCTTGTGTGAACTCGCCGGAGGCCATGTCGAGCTTTTTGTGGTATGACGAGTTGCATCCGTCGGAACGTGCAGGTACGTCTGGACTGTTAGCGAACTTTTCTTTTTGTGTGGACGTTGGGCTAACGTGAGCGATTTTGAAGATGAGATTATAGCACAGAACTTCATCGACGTTGTGTACGGCAACTCGACGTATGGCACTACATATACGTCGTGAGGGCCTCGCATCTAGTCAACCAGTGTTGGGGTAGGGTTCCCTCTCGAATGAGCCGATGGGTTGCGATAAACCTTCGAGGCTAGATTACTGGAAATTGGAATGAAGCGTTTATAATAATGTGTGTCCTGAAGGAGCAAGAGTCGGTTTGTAATGGTAGGAAATATACGGAGTACAAGGAAGTCGAACAACTAAAGCAAGCCCCATCCGTCCTGGTCCCTGACCTGGTATCAGGGCGTCTACGTAGCTTTCGGTGAAATACCTTAGGTATGCCAGACCATGTGAGTTGCTTCATCTACGACCAAGGCCTCTCCCGGCCTATGCCACGCAGATGGACTCATTGAAAGCTGCCATTCCTCATCGCTGCAAGCCATCTGCCACAATTCCGTACTTACTTGCATTTGTGGCATTCCGTACCCCGTAATCTCTTCGTAGAGGGTTGCTTCAACTTGTCAATAACAACAGCAGCTTGTTCTTGACAAGCTCGAGGAAGGTGGAAGGAGAGGGGAGACATGACCCTTGCGAGCTGCAGGCACACCCCTGTCGTGATAAGTGTGGGTCTCACCGACAGTCCAATAAAAAGGCAGCTTCACCTCGGCTCTTGCAATTCCTCGATTAACGTCCCGAGGTACGTACTGACCACCTCTGGCACCTTCCAGGTTCCAAGCGCAAGCCCCCTCCCCCCCCTTCCCAGAACGCCCCGCCGTTTCTCGAGCTTCCACGGCTTCCCCCCCTCCAAGGGCCCATGTGCCCATGTGGAAAAGCAACGCAGGAAAATTCTGTTTCTGCCTTTCTACGTCCCTCTTGCCCACGAATGCCTGGTTGACACCTTACACAACACGACCTGGGCACACCGACACCCCGATATATCGCTCGCTCCCTCATTTCTCACACACCTAGACAATATTAATCGCCGGACCGCAACTGGACTGGGACTTTAGAGTCTAGACAAGGTTACCGCCGCGCCGCCACTCCCGCTCTCACTTCGCTTCATCTCATACTCACCGCACACCGACACACCGATACCGTGCCGTGCCGTTCCACGTCTGGCCTCTCTCTCTCTCTCTTTCTCTCTCCCTCTCTCTCTCTACCTTACCTCTCGCCGCTTGATGCTCCACGCCCACCGTCACTCACACCACGGCCGCATCTGAGGTCATTTCCATTGTCCAGTCTCGTTGTGTCAAACGTACGCAAAGGGTTGCTTTGCGTCCTGTCCCTTCGCTTCCCAACCGCACCCTACCGTGCCGTCTTGCACCAGTCAACCCACCCCTTCCGCTCCGCGTATCCTCCCATCTTACCTTTACTTTCCAAAGGTACCTACCGCGTGGGACCTTGCCAGCTTGCCTGCCTTATCCAGGCTTCCCAGCTCGGCGTCGTTCCTGATTCCAGTGGCAGCCCGGCGCGAGACCACGACCCGATTGCCATCTGCTTGCTTTAGTCTTGTCTCACCGGCCCGCGCTGTGGCACTCTTCGGACCCTTCTTGGCTCCTTCTTTTCCACATTGGAGATCGTTAATCCTCAAGCAATTACGGATACGCATTTCACAATCCCTTCCTTCCTCATCTCTAACTGGCAACCCTCCATCCGGCGCCCCCATCCCTCCACGTCATCTCCCATCCATTACCGGCACCTAGTCCTTCACCCTTTCTCACCGTACCCATCTCATTCACTTTGAACCCCTGGTTTCTACATTCTCACACCCCTGTGTGCTCTACTTTCCTCTACTTACTGTACCTATTTAGAGGTATAAGGTAGCTAGTGGACGAGTACGGACGAGACCGAGACAAACAGGGCCGGCTTCATCCCAGCCTCCAGGTACGCCTTACCGAACAGCCAGGCAGCCCCAAGTGCAGAGAAAGGAACTGCTGGGTTCGTTCCGTATGCATGGTTGTACCTTAGTACGGAATACATCCATCACTAGCAAGACGCAAGCCGAATCAATTCGCCCGTAGGCCAAAGAGTTTGGCTGTCAGTCACAGTCTACCTGAGAGACAACCCAGCCAGAGCCCGCCCATTGACGGTTGTACCCCTGTCCCCCACCGCCCATCACGCACGTCAAGCAGGCAAGCAAACGAGCCAGTCATCCCGCCAGCCTAGCAAACCTGCGGCCCGGACAGGCCAGGACCACCTCGCCTTACTCCACGCACTCCTCCCCGCCGCCCGCCGTTCTTCTCTCTTGTTGCGCTCGACTCGACTCGACGAAACATCGCCCGCTGCGGCCGCGCCTCTCTCTCACCTCCTCCGCCCAGTTTAGGCCAACCCAACCAAGCCCAGCCCGGTCCAGCGCGAGACAACAAGCGAGCCAGCCAGCCCGTGTCTGACGGAGTCTCAAGCCCGAGTCTATTGCTACAGTACCTTATCCGACTAAGCCCCTTGGGACCCCCCCGTTCGACCTGCTCCTTGGGCTCGTCGCGTCAAGCCCCGTCCCCCAAAACCATAATAATAATAATAGGTCCGCGCCCATCCTATCCCATCCCGTCCCAGCCATGTACGCTCCCGGCTACGGCTTCTCTAATGTCCCTCCGAACTTCAACACCGGCGCCCCACCTCCAAACCAGAACCCTCACATGCAGCCAGGCTCTGTCCCAACCCAGCCGGGCCAGCAGATGATGTACAACCCTAATCAATTCGCTGGCATGCCCGGAGGCCAGCCCGGCTTCGTCGGCGGTCCCAATTCCGCCATGATGTCGGGCGCTGGCCCTGCAGGCATGATGCAGAACGCCGGCATGCCACACAT